CTCTTTCCCAAAAGAAACCCAGAACTCAGAACAGGCAGTTTTTTCCCCCGTTCGACTCTTCCCAAAGTAGTTGCCACACAAAAGAGAGAGGAAAATGAGAAAATTGTCCAAAAGGACGACGTATCTGACGTCTCGGAGCGCAGCTAGCCCGTCTCGACTTCAATCTGTCTCTGCTGCTCTTACAAAATGGAAGTTGACGCGACTGAAGCTAAAAGAAGAAGGTGACAATTTATTTAAAGAAAAACAAAACACTTTGTCATTTTCTCAGTGCGGGCTGAAGGGCAGAGTGAATATTAGCAGTTGAAGAGCAGAAACCAACATGGCTGCTGGGTTCACTGCAGTCTCTCCTGCCTGCTTACTGTCTGTCTTGAATACTGAAGAAAAGGCGTTAACACTGCTGTGTGTGTGTTTCTGCTCTCAGAGAGAGAGAGAGAGAGGGAGAGAGAGCATTCATCTTTATGCCTCTCTCTCTCTCTCTCTCTCCCCTTTTAGCTTTCAGGTCTAAAATAAACTGTACTCCTGCAACATCTGCATATCAAATACAGTAATCGCCACACGAGGCACAATCGGGAAAACTTGTAGCCGTGAAAAATTCGCTACGACAGAGACAGACATCAGGTGACTGCGCAGAGAGGTGACACATGACTGTGGAGCAAATTCAACATATTCGTTCAGGTGCCTTGATAAGGAGACGAAGAAAAAAAAAACACAAATCAACAACAAATAAGTAAATAATTAAAGCTCTGGCCCTGAGTGAGCAGCAGAGAGAATCTGCCATGAGTGTGAGATGACTATAAATAAAAGAGTACAATAAGTAAGTGTATGTTGTTTTTTTTTTGTTGTTGTTGTTTGGAGTTTGCCCTCCTCACCAAACTATCCGAGCCACTGTTGCTGCTAGTCAGTTGTTTACCATCTAACATGTGGCAGGAATTCAAAAAACTTGGCAGGGCCTGTTGCACCGTACGTCGTGGAGAGTTCATCTGAGGATACAGCTCTGGTTTTGGCTCAGCTGCCAACTTTTGACACTGTAGCCCTCTGCACGGCCTCACCCCTGCAGGAGCAGCCTGCGTAATGCTACCATTGATGAAACTCCAATATTAACAACCTCATTTATGACAACTCCCAGATTCCGCAACCACCGGCTCAGACCAACCTGTGCCCTGCCTCGCGTTTATTGTTGTGCACCGCGAAAAAAAAAAAAAAAAAAAAAAATCTCACTTTTGTTTTGTCATCGCTTACCTCCCCGCGCGGTTCGTAGCTTTGAAGACCTGTGTAGGTCAGTCCATGTGACACGGCTCGTGTTTTAACAGCACGGCCATTTTCGGGTTTTAGACGAACAGAAATGTCAGACAGAGCGAGGGAAGTGAGAGCACAGGAAACACGCCCCTCAGAGTCAGTGTGTGTGTCTGTGATGCACAGCTCACGCTGCACGGTGACACCATCGGGGTAAATGTGTCACAGGTTACAAAAAAAAAAACCAGAGTTAT